CTGACACAGTTTTGCTACATAAAAATGTAAAAACATTAAAACTGAGAGAGTGGCATTAATAGAATGGCAAAATTAATGCCAAAGAGGGAAGGAGAAGAGGAGTTCTTCACATATGATCATTCAGGATGTCTCAGAGAGCCTGTGGGTACAGTGAGCTATGGAAACACTTCAGGAGTTTTGAGCATGGCAGTAAATTGCTCTTCTTTATATTTTATTTTTACACACAAACTCACACTCTGTTTATATTCATGCATATCTATCTTAAATCCCATTTGTACAATGGTGATTCCACATCTATATTTCAGAACATGCCTTTCACCAAAACCCCAGACAGGTATTCAGCTATCTTCCAGCTACATCCACAGGTCCGGCAAGCAGAAATGTCAACATAGTGTGACCCAGTGAAATCTCAGGAGTTTCTCCTCATTTTAGTACATCAAACACAAGTGCACAAATCAAGACCTCTGAGATATCACTGAATTTTCTTTTGCGCTATATCAGTCAGTGTCTGTAGAGCACAGATTTAATACAAGTCATACAAATGTATAAGAATTTATAAACTGGACTTACAGTGGCCACCAGAGTCATAAAGAGTGAAAAAGAGCTATCTATGTGCTAGAGATACGAAGGATCCAGTCAAAGGCCTGAGCTCACTTGAGTGTCCAGTGCACGTCCCTACCAGAAGGCTGAAGGCTCTGTGCTGGAAGCCAGAAGACAATCTTGAAAGTAAAGGCAAAGACTGGAGCTCCTAAGAGAAACAGAAGTGAGGCTTCCTTGTTCATTAAGCTTTTACTCCATTCAAGCATCAAGCCTATTGTTTGGTGCCAGTCATAGGCAGGGTGGGTCTTCTATCTTCAGTAAATCCCTGCACCACACCCAGAACAATGCTGGCCCAATTAAATTAGGCATTTCTTAATCAAATCGATACTGTTAGCTATCATACCCATGCTGATTACAGGTAATCTGTACCTCCTCCAAATCCAAATATGCTGTCTTCAACTCTAACACAGTCACCAAGAAAAGCATTTTTATAGTCTCTGTTTTTCTGTATGAACCAAGCCCAAACATATTTGCATGTAGAATAATTACACTGATCCTTTGAAAGTGTCAATTAGGTTGCACTTCACTCCTCAGACTCTGCCAGGGAAGACCACTCGGGTTCTAAAAACAGAGTCACAGTGTCTTACTTACTTTTATTTGCTCCTTTGTAGTGATCTAGTCTCACTTCTCTCTCTCTCTCTCTCTCTCTCTCTCTCTCTCTCTCTCTCTCCTCTCCTTCCCTCCCTGCCCCCTCTCTCTCCCTCAATCTCTCTTTCTGTCATTTTAAAAATTTATGTTAAAATAACATACATAAAACTTATTGTCTTAAACATATACAGTGATATAATATTAAGTACCTTCTTGTGGTATCACACATTTCATGGACTCTTTCATCTTACAAAAATGAAATTTTGTACCTATTAAAAAATAAATTCTTATTCTTCCCTCAGCACCTGGCATCCACTGTTCAATTTTGTATCTCTAAGAATTTAGCTATTTTGTGCACCTCACATAAGTGGAATCATGCAGATTGCATCTGTTTGTGACTAATATATTTAATTGAACATTTCCAAGGCTCATACATGTCATACAATGTATCAAAATCCCCTTCCTTTTAAAAGCGGAATACTGTTCTATTGGATTAATGTGCCACATTTTGTTTACCCACTCATCTGTTGATGGGCACTTGGATTATTTTCACCTTTTGGTAATTATAAATAATGCTGCCGTGAACCTGGTTATATAGATATTTGATTGAGTTTCCACCTTCAATTCCATAGTTTATGTAAGATCATGAAAGAGTCCTAATTCTAGTTTGAATTGTTTTGGTTTTGATTGTACTGAGAAAGGATTGCAGGTTTTCACTAATGAGATAGAACCCAGGGCCGTTGCACTGAGATATATCTCAGCATTTCTAGAGTTTATTTTGAAACAGAATCTTGCTAAATTACCTAAACTGGCTTTGAACTTATGATGCTCCTGACATAGTCTTCCAAGCATGTGGAATTATGGGTGTGTGCCACGGTGACTGCTTATCTTTAATTTTGAAAGACCATTGTATTAGTTTCCACTTTAACTGCATCATTTTCTATTTTCTTTGGCTGACTATCTCTTCTATTTTTCTTTTCACCCTCCATGTTTTCCATCTCTACCTTCTTTGCTTTTACCAAATACCAACGTCAGGCTTGTGGTAGAGCCTGTGCAGTATTTGGCCTCTTCGTCTTTACTTTTCACAATGCTGATATTTACTTGGCTGTCTCATTCTGATTATTCACAGACTCTTAAAGGACAGAGCTTCCTTGATGAGTCATTGATTGTTCCACTGATACAACACTTATCAAAATTTCATGATTTTCTTTTTCCCACAACATGGTATCTAGAATTAAGACTGGCCTAATAGAAATGAATGGAGATTGATAAACGCTATAGGAATTAATGGAATAATTTCCTACTGTTTTACTTATGAATATTAAGCATTAATGAATTTCCATAGTCATCACTAAAAGAGTAACACGTGTTTTAGAGCCAGATTAATCCAACAGAGAATCCACAATTTTATAACATCATGAAGAATGTCAGTTGTCCTGGTCATTTTGATCATTCAGACTCTAACATAAATTTGATGTATTAATTTGGCGGTTGCAGACAAATATACTCGTGGCCTCAAATTATGTTAATAATTACCCCTATCCTTCTCTACTTGCTACATACTGTGTCTGTTTTGGACATATTCTAAAATCTTTCATGTACTTCTCAATAGCAAATTTCAGTGTTGTATCCAAAATTGGATGCACTCATTTTACCTAACTTCCACTGAAATTTTTTCAATTTGATATTTTATAGTTCATTTTGGTAATAAACACTATCATAACCTATAAAGTCATTTGTTCTAGAGAAAATTCATTCAGGCAGTGTAAATGGAAAATTGTTATTTGATTTTTTTATATTAAATGAACGGATGAGCATGATCAGGTTACCCTGGATATGACAGTGTCCTGACCCAGTTATCACTGTAATGAAGCCTTATATTGTGGATGGGCTAGTTTTATATTGCCCTGATAATCTATTACCTTGATCCTTCTGACCTTCTGATATTAAATGAAAGCTCATTAAATATTCTGCTGAAAGGGGGACATATATTCATTTATTCTTTTTATTAATAACCATATATTTTCAGTATCTTTCTTGGTACTAGGATTTGAATCCAATTGTGTTCTACCACTGAGTTACATTTCCAGTTCTTTTTTATTATTATTATTTTGAAGCAGAGTCTCATTAAATTGTTGAACTAGCCAGACTGGGCGTGAACTTGTGATCCTCTTGCCTCAGTCTCCCAGAGTGCTAGGATTAAAGGTCTGTACCACCACATCCTGACCGTGCTTAAAATGTGGTTTTGAAATTGTATTTAGGATTGGAACAGGTTTCATGCAAGAATAAAGAGAAATACCAAAAATTCTTCTTCAAAAGCTACTTGTTATATACTTTCTTGTGTATGCTCATAGGCCTAATAGATAAACTTCTGCGCATACTAACTTAACTAACTTATAGGTAACGACTATATGATTTGCAAAACTATAAAAAATCATTTTTGTTCTGAAAACCTTTTAACAATTCTTCCCTTTTATGTAAAAGATAATGAGGGCTCTCACTGAAATCATTATTCTGTCATTTTCTCAAAAGAATAACAATATAGAAAATTAGAATATTGTCTATTTTATTAATATAAAATTATGCAAACTATCTTGTTAAAATAGTTAATATAAAGTTTCGCATGTGTTAAGCAGAATTGATTGTAGTGCCCATTACACTTCAAGGACACTGGCGAGAATAGGTGGCAATAGGATTTCAGAATATTAATCCATCTCTTTCATCCCTTTTATTACTTAGGGCTTATATTGGGAACTACTTCATAAACATTGTATCTCTGCTGTAAAGGTTTATAACCACATTTTAAGACATAAATTTTTATGATGCCTTTGCATATTATATCTCAGGCTTCTTTAGGGCAACAAATAATAACTTGTCCCTTCTTGCTCACAAAGGGGCATCTTTAGAGAAATAAAATCTTCTTTACAAAATTCTGTTGATGTAGCAAGTTTAGAACATTTTGAAAAACTGTTGGTACAGGACCTATTTTAAAACTTTAACCAATGACATTCTTTCTTTACCACATAAGCTGTAAGTATACAGCTGCATATTTATAAAGCCGGTGGAAGAAGGTGTGTCAGCTTTTACTATTCTATTAAGGAGGCAAAAGCACATTAATATTACCAAGAGTCATCAAATCTTTTTTTATACTGAGTATCCAAGAAACTAAATAATTTTATGAGGCACACAGCTAATAAATGATAGGACATGATGTTAAGCAAATTTGTACAATTCCAAAGCCTGTGTGTTTCTAATCAAGTCCACGGCCTTTTTTCCTTTAATAATAACAATAAATTGTGCACAGAAGCTATAAACAGCTAGTCATGTATCATTCAAATCATGTGGAGCAGATCATCACCCTAAACTATGTACCCTGATAAATTTTTAAGAAGCAACTGGTACATTTATTTTTGTTTTTGGTTAAATCAGAGTAAATAATTTCCAAGTAAGACAGTTGTTGGTATTTTATTTCCCTTTTTGTTATTTCTGTATCTGTCTTTATTCTACCCTTTATTAATGATTCCTAAAAAGAAATGCATGGAAAAAGAAAAAAAAAAAAAACCTATTAGAATAAAGATGTGTAACCCTGTAGTCCTTGTAGAAGGAATACTTTCGAGTCCTGTAGAAGCTACCCTCCTACACTTAAGAAATGTTGTGATACTCAAATTAAATATGGAAGACGTAGCACACGCTGAAGAAGGGAAGGCCTTGTTTAGCGTGTTTGAAATATGGTACTGTCTTAAACAGAAAGTTTTGAAATGCTACATAGGCTCTTTTTTGAGACCTACTGATGATGTCTTTTTGAATCCTAGAGTCTCAAGTCCCTGATCAACCAAGCTCTCTTCATGTGAGGCCCCAGACCAACTGCATCATCATGAGCTGGACTCCACCCTTGAACCCAAACATTGTGGTGCGAGGTTACATCATTGGGTACGGCGTTGGTAGTCCTTATGCTGAGACAGTGCGAGTGGACAGTAAGCAGCGTTATTACTCCATTGAGAGGCTAGGTGAGTAGTGATGAATTGTATTTTGCTAAGGACACTGGCGAATTTACCCTCTTTGGAAAATTGTGGAGTTTTTTTTTGGGGGGGGTGGCTATGATTTAATCATAGATTGTCAAAATTGCTCTTTCTACCCCTGTTACTCTGTCAATGTGTCTCTGTGTTTCCAAATCCACACTCTGTCTCTAGATTATGAATTTGTGGAATCAGATCTAGAGTATGTATAGTGACTTCTGCACTGATTTATTTCCTTGTTCATCTGTACTAGAATAAACAAAGAGCTTTGAATAATGGTCAATGGAAACTTCTGATCTTAATAATTCTTATAAAAAGAAAGTAAGCACATTTTTATAGATATATTTCCTTTTATTTCCAGTACATTTTCTTCATTTCATTGTCCACACAAGGAAATTTTTTAATTTTTCTTTAATCTTAAGTAACTTCAGTACCTTCTTTTCCCTTGACATTCATAGATAAAACTCTGCAGCTAGGTCATTATGACTATAAAACAACAAAATGAAACAAGGAATCGTCAAGACTGTAAATTGGATTCATCAAATCCATCCTACATGGATTTCTGGTCCCTCCACATTCTAAATTTTCTTATCTTAGTCAATTTTGTTTTTGTTTTCTTTTTTATGGAATACAATGCATCAATTGTGGTATTTCTGAATTCACTGACAGTTTGTTCATTCAGAGAGTCCAATTGTGTGTATATACTTTAATTTTATCCCTGATTTTCTATTGTGCTTTAAAAGATCATGTCATTAGTAAAAATATATAAAGTAAATACAGCATATTCACTGTTATCAGATGCCAGGAAGTTAAAGCAAAAGGCAAGTTAATTCTACCTGTTGATTGAATGCCCAGATTATTGACAGTGAATTACGTTTACCCTCTGTAAATGCGTACTTGTTAGGGATGGGGCATGTGCTACCTTATTTACAATGTCTCTCCTAGACAGAACAGTTGTGTTGAGAAATCCTATTTGAATTTGAATAGTTAAAATGCAATAGCAAGAAAAGATTTTCTCAGTGCAGGCAGAAAATTGCACTGACCCATTCTCTCTGTAATTGCTTCAAACACTAATAAGTGAAGCACCTACTGAAACTCCACAATTTAAGTCAGCTTGGCATTTAGAAATAATATTCCCTCAGTCAGACCCTCAGTTAGGATGTAAGGACAATCACAAAGCTAATAGTTTATGGCCGTCAAATCTACGTCAGGGGACTCTCACTTATCCATTATCCAGAATACACCGTCTCTGACAGTTCATCTTGATGCCACTCACAGCCAGGGGAAGGGAGGTGGCTGTGCACAGCCCCTTGCAAGAAGAATGAAGGCAGCACACACTCAGGAGGATGTCATGAAGGAAAAATGCATTACTTCACCGTGTCCTCTGGATAATGATACGCTTTATTACAAAGACATGCTCTGGAGTCTCCAAATCTTATAGCTGCTTGGGAATTTATAAATTAACATTGAGACATTTCCCCAAATACTTAGTGAGAAAAAATGGAAAAATTTCTTTGTAAGGTGTGTTCTAAAGAGCTGGGAGTAGGGCTGCTGTGTGGCTGCATAGTACAGAGCATTTGCCTAGAACGCCTGAACCCCTGGATTTGAACCCCAGCACTGAAAAAAAGACTGATTTTGCACTTGAAATTTTATCAAGAGAATGTATATATATGTTTGTATGATTATATTATATATGTGTGCATATATATATTCAAGTACTATCAATTGTTCTGATTCAGTTGATCTTGAGTCCTCACATAAAATATAAAATGAAAAAATTAGTTGTCTTTTTACATTAGGTGTTTTCATGGTTGTGCAATTAAAACTGGCATTTTCCAACTTTTATTTTCACCATTTAACCAAAATTATGAGAGTTATAAGCTCTGATTTTTATTAAAATGAAAGATTCATTCAAGTCTATGCTTAAATTCTGCTAAGTCAGCGTTTCATTTATTAAATTGAATATTTAGTTAGGCCATTCAGGGCTGAGACAGTAGCTCAGAGGTAAAGTGTTTGTCTAGAATGTGTTTGACACTGGGTTTGGTACCCAGCACCAGGAGAACAAATCAGTCTAATAGTATCTTTTTGAGAAGGTATTTCTGAACGTATATGTATTGTTTATTCCTGTCTACGCACTATAGAAACTCAAAAAATCACTTTCACCCATCAAATAAAAGATCCGTTCAAAAAATGAACAAATAAAAGAAAGATACTTCACAGAGAATAAGTACACATGGCTAATAAGTACATGAAACAATACTCAATATTGCTGGCCATTAGAGGAATGCAAAGTAAAACAACACTGAGATTCCATTTTATCCCAGAAAGAAAAGTGATCATGAAGAAATAGAATAACGAATTTTGGTAAAGCAGCTGAGGAAAAGGAACCCTGATACACTTCCGGTGGGAATGTGAATCACCACAGATATTAGTGTTATCCAGTCATTATATATATATATATATATATATATATATATATATATATATATATTTAACAAAAGAAATTTTACATTTAAGGACTGCATGCTTTAGTTATGGAACTGAAAGTAGGTTAAAGAAAATTTGAAGCCTAAGTGGTAATTGCTTTTTCATTTCTGATATTGGTCGTTTCTGTTGTTTTTCTTTTTTGGTGTTATTTTATTGGTACATATTTGTAATATATAAGTTTGCATTCGTCTTAGGGTGTAGGTGCATGTACATAACATATGTTAATTGTTTTTATTCCCTTTCTTATCTGTACCCACAACCCTCCCTTCTCTAGAGCTGCTTTTCCCGTCCTCATTAATATTGTTAGTTCATATTCATGACATTTAATGTTTAGATTCACGATGGGCCTTTAGTGCATATTTGTGACAGCTCTTAAATATTTTTACTTCCCTCCATCCCTCTCTCCACTACCCTCGGTCTCCTGGACATCTTCCCATTTGCAAAAATCTATCTCTCTGTCTCCTTCTATTAAATCTTTGTTTTGTCGCATATTTACCGTTTCTCTTCTCTGCTTTTTTTATGCCTTTTCAGAGATTTACTAATTTTATTGATTTATCAAAGAATGAACCTTTTATGTTACTAATTTATTATCTACCTGTATTTTTCTTTCAGGATTACTCTTATTTCCTTCTTTTTACTTATTTTAGTTATTTTTTGGACCTGAATTTTTAAAGGTAGAAATGTATAAGTAGCAATAGCTATTAGTGTTCATCTAAGTACTGTTTCTCTTACAACCTGAAAGTGTGATTATGTTGTATTTTACTAATATTTAGTTCAAAATATAGTCTACTTTCTTTTGTGATTATTGAATTTCTCTTCACTTTACGTATGATTTGAGGTTTTCCTAGTTGTCTGGTTATTATTTATTTTTTATTTTATAAATATTAAAATTCATACAATTTAATTTCATTATTTTTAAATTTTATTGACTTTTTGGAACTAGCATATTGTCAATGTGATTGAATGTACTATATGAATTTGAAAGTAATGTGTGTTCTACAGTTGCTACATGTAGAATTATGCAGATGACAGTTAGATCTAAGTTTTCAGTAGTGTTTTTCAGATTACTAGTGTCCTTACTAAATTTTGGGACTAATAATGCTTTGACTTGCTAAATCATCATAGGGAACCTGTTAAATAATTGTTACTTTCCCTTAGAAAATTACCTTTCTGAATACCCTTTTGTTTTTGTCAGTAGTCTTGGACTTTGAAAACTATTTTATCTATTGTTAACATAACCAATCCAGGTTTGCCATTTATCTTAGAGTTCTTATCAACCTCTATAAAACTGTCACCTCTTAATGACAGCGAATTGAAATCTTTTAACACCATTGATATGGATTAACAGAGAACGGCAGTTAACTGATATTTTTCAAATTTGGCATTATCCTGGAAAAGAAAGACTATGTAATTAAAACTTTTCAAATTTTAATGAGCATCTGTCATTTCTTTGGAAATGTTTTAATCATCATTTGAAAACAGTTTTTCCAGGTATCATTTTCTTTCATTCTTATTATCTTTCTGCTCGTGCACTTTAAAGGACATTGTTTTGATAATTGTTGAAAGCATAACGTAAGCATGCAAAAAAGAAAATTAATATGGAATTCAATAGAATGATGAATCTGGATGCAGATCTGTATTTTTATCCTTTCAGAAGGAAAATTTAACATTGGGAAAGCCATTTGAATTTGTTGTTGTATCACTAAGTACAAGAGTTAAAAGGTTTTGAAATTATTAAATTAGATGATAAAGTTCAACTTTTAATTTAATTGTTATTGGTACATGTTTGCAACACATACTGTTTACATTCCTTGTAGGGAGTTGGTACATGTACATAATGCATCTTAATACTTTTTTTTATCTCCTTTCTACTCTTTCTCCCCTCCCCTTCCCTTTATCCATTTCTCTGAAACACACCTATCTCCCTAATTCCATTATCTATCTTTTACCTTGCTCTTTATCTATCATTTGAGATTCTCATATGAAGGAAATATTCAAGCTTGTGAATTTGATTTTATTTCATTTATCATTATGATTTCAAGGTGCATTCATTTTCCCACAAGTGACTCAAAATCATCTTTCTTTATGGCAATATAATAGTCCATTGTGTATAAAAACCACAATATCTTTATTATTTGTTGTGGATGTGTGGGCCACTTCCAGTATTTAGCTATTATAATTTGTGCTCTTATAAGCACTATAATATATGATGTCTTAATTGTTTCAAGAAGATTCTTAGAAAGGGAATTATCTGGGTTTCATGACATTTCTAGTTTCAGTTTTTTGAGTAATCACCACACTAATATCTGTGGTGATTCACCGGAAGTGTATCAGGGTTCCTTTTCCTCAGCTGCTTTACCAAAATTCGTTATTCTATTTCTTCATGATCACTTTTCTTTCTGGGATAAAATGGAATCTCAGTGTTGTTTTACTTTGCATTTCTCTAATGGCCAGCAATATTGAGTATTGTTTCGTGTACTTATTAGCCATGTGTACTTATTCTC